GAATTTTCCGCCATAGAGCTAAAGAAAACATGGAACCGGCAAAGGGTAAAGTTGCTAAATTTTCATATCGACTACAATTACTATCACATAACTTGCAGTGAGCACTAAGTCGCCTATTGCGGCACCCAAGTCAGCTTCTGGCTTTCTGGAGCCGATTCTTGGCGCCGCTGTGACGGTCGGCTGTTAATCACTGTATTCAGATGTGTACGTGACCAGAATGAGAGCGGATCTGGCTAGACTGTGCCGACTCCGACGTCTCAAACCTAGCTTCTTTTGACCGCTGATGTACGGCTTAGCTTGAGCACAGTAGACATGAAGGGAGTAAAAAAGTCAGCGTAGCCAGGCCATTTGCTCGATAAATAGCATCATTCTTTTGAGATGGTGTAAGAAGATATAAAGCATTAAGTGATGGTCAGCCTTACCGCGCTGACACAATTGCTGCAACATCTCACTATTATAGGCATGTTCACATTCAGTGGAGAGCAGGCGTATGACCCACTGTATAGGATAAACCCATGCTCGTATCTAATGCAAGGCAGCCAAACATCAGTTGCCATGGATTCCCGCATGTTCCCCGACCTACACCAGCCGACCCGCTGCCAAAAGCTTCACCCGGCGACAGAGCCATATCTAGCGGCCGATCTAACCGGCATCATCCATCTTCCTGCTGTGGTCTGACAGATATTTGATCAATGGCTGAACGCTGAGGCATGCCGACTACCGAGTCATGGGACCGATCACAGAGCAGCTACTCAGTGGCTGTCTCCTGCCGCGAGACGTGGGCAGGAGTAGACAGGGTGAGGCGATTTTGAATTGAGTGATTTTGATTGGTGGGGCAGGTGATTTTAATTGGCTTACTTTGGGTACTTAGCTTCATGTCACCGGGAATTAAGGAGTAGCCCTTGCTCATGGTGCTGCATGATACTGATTATCAGTTATCGATTAATTTTACTAATCCCTTTGAATAACATAAAACATGGAAGTGTTAACGAATTTGGTAGCCACAATGAAACTCGAGGCCAACTTTAATATTCCAGGCGCCGATGTAAGATCATAAAACCCTGGTATACAGATGTCTAAATGATAAGATTATTATCTTCTTGAAAGACATGACAGAAGCAGTTGCTCCGACATTGCAGTACTACGAGTAGATTTCTCATAAAACCGCTCGCTATTCGTACGATATTGCTTGCTATATTGTCCTTTTCGTCGATATCCGTATGTAAAATAATACCGCCTCTGATTTTTCCGGCTCACCGGCGCCTGTAAATACGTCTAGCCATCCGCACTGATCCCCAGTCGACTCCAGCGGTGCGTCTCGGTTTATTGTGTTCAAAACTCCGTGACAAGATGTTCCTACATTGGCCGTACATCCCCGAGCAAGCGCGTGATTCTGCAGTGTCGAGTAATAACCGCCAGTTTCAGCACACACTCGGCGTCCAATAACAGTCGCCCGTTCGCCAGAATGGCCGCGAGCTGGACGGCGCACAGGCGCGGGGACTGAGGTCGGGGCGGGGAGAAGGCCGGAGCCGTGGCCGGAGCCGGAGCCGGGAGAAGAGCCGGGAGCTGGAGCCGGTCTTTGTGCGCCCGCACTCCGGATCGCCGTCTTTTCGCCGCCGTTCGCGCACATCGTGTTGAGTCAGAGATCGCCTTATGCCCGCTGGACGCCTCAGCACTTCAGCACGATGCTGACCGACCCCGGCAGGAGCTGAAGAGGACAGTGCCGGGGAGGGGGGGGCTGCGAGTAGCTGGGGAACCGCGGTGGGAGGCTGGTTGGTGTTCGGTTGGTATTCTGTCGTAGTGAAACGTTAACCCTCGCCCTGGCAGGGGGGGGGGGTCGATGCGACCCCCCCCCCCTAAGGTTTTTCGAAGATAGCGTAAAAACGGCGGCGCGCAGCGCCGCCAAATTTGGCACAGCCTATGGGGCAACCTTTTTACATATAACCTGAAAATTTCAGGTCCAAGTGACCTTGGGTCAGGTCACCAGGTCAGAAAAACCGGTACAAGGTCATGGTCAAATTTCAATTTTCTTTTTGCACCTGTCCAACTCACAGTTTTGCACTGATTTCCTTCAAACTTTCAGGATGTGCTAAGTTCACCGAGTTGTATAACATATAGTTCGGGTTTTTTGAGGTCACTGACCTGAGGTCAGTTAGAGGTCATTACGTCGTAATGTTAAGCCTATGGGAAAATACTAAATTCGGAAAATACTGGAGATATCCGCTTCGTTCTAACACTTTTGTGCTTTGAAACCACAGTACTTAACAGCAGGTCACTTGGTGCTTCTTTGTTTGGTGTACTTATCCATGGGTCAGGTCAAATGAGGTCAACTGAGGTCAAATGACGTTTTTGCCAATAACTTGGCACATAATGACGCTAGAGCTTAAAAAATGGTATCATTGTGTTCCTGGTGATCAGCCGAATCGAATGATATGCGATATGATGCAATTTGGTTAACTTGAACTTAATTTATTATTTTAAGTTTACTTAAAATTTAAGAAAAACTTTAAGCACACTTAAGCAAGCTAAAAAGTATATCATTCGATGCGCCTTGACGTGCTGAGTTCACTGGTACTTTTCTTTTTGCTCTATCTTTATCAGATCAAAAGTAATAAGCGAAAAACTTTTGACCTGTTTTTAGCGAAATTTTTACATTTATACCCCCAAAACCCTCCTAAATATTGACCTAGAGCAACCAAATTTGCACAGGGGCGAGAACTCCAGGGGGCCCACCTACCTACCAAATTTGGTGTTTCTAGGTGCCATAGGAGCCAATCGCGAGGGGGGGGTCGCATCGACCCCCCCCCCTGCCAGGCCGTGTTATGAAAAATGCCCTGCCAGGGCGAGGGTTAATGGTAGGCTTATCAAGTGAGCCGTACTCACGGCGTTTCATTAATACATTTTTATAATACAAATGTAGCCATGTTTTGGGTTTGCGACGTGCTAAGACATTTTTTTTTTATCTCACCAAAATCATTCATAAATAGCAACGTTACCAAAGAAGCGTTTACTCCTTGCACGGAGTAATAAAATCAAAATAATTGCAATTATTTACGTAACATAAAATATCATCGCCACCCTTATCCAGTTAGGTATCAGCTGACGAGAATATTTCTATAATAAATAGCGTCATTCGTAGGCAGCATCACTGAACGGATGATAAGAGATCGTCATTGGCTGCCCTAATACATCAAGGCTGGCCGTCATACATCTGCAGGGCTCCTCTCAGAGAGCGCCGCCAGAACGACTCCACTTTGAATTTCAAATGTGACGTCGGATCATGAGCCAAGAGTTGGGAGATATCAGGCCTGCGGCTTATTCAGACAAACAAGAGTTATGGCCCAGAGAGGCATGCTTATTCGGCTGGCCGGTGGCCATGTGTCACTGTGTTCCGCTTCCTCGCATAAATAGAAGTCAACTCGATGCTGATTTTATGCGGTAATTTGGAAGGGAGCCTGCTGAATTGACGATACAACATTTACCGTGACGGGCTCAGTTTTCTTCGCGATCGCAGATTGTGCGTTTGTGAAACTGAGAATCATTATCTCATCGAAATAAAACGTTATTTTCCATCTAATGTTACGCACAATCAAAGCGTCTGATTTGATTTGATATTACTAAACCAGTGCGTACCTAATGCGTCATGAAATTTGCAGTGCATCTATTGCGATCAAGTACAAGTGCAATGATTTACTCTTAGTGCATACAACGGAGACACGTCGTTTTTCCTTTTTCCGATCTGTAAGCTTCTGTGTCACACCAAGTCACGGCCGTTACATAAACGCGGTAGATCACTGATCAGAAGCTGGTCGGCCCGGGTCGTCTGATCGGGTGGTGAGTCGTGACATCTCTCACAGCTCCCCCTCCCCCCTCCCACGGCCGACTCTGTTCGACTGGAAACATTTAACGACGTCCTGTCTGGCGGCGGCCCTGAAACGGCCCGGCCCGGCCCGCCCGCGCTCCGCTTCCGCCGCCTTCCGTCGAGGCCGCTCCTCAAAGTGGGAGCGCCCCGGCCGGTTACAGACCCTCGCCGACGAGCTACCGGAGACCGTCCGCCGAGTCGATCGGGGCTATTACCGCACTGAGCGATCAGCTCAGTTGATCGGTCTAATGTCGGCCGGATGCGGTTATTTCCAGTCTAAGGAACGTGTAATTTGTGGGATACGTCGGGCTTGTCGATAAGGTTTCCGACTCCAAGTAGTGGTTGCTGATATATTTTTGGAAAAATATTGCGACCCATGGTAACCCACTCTACGGTCTTCCCGATTCATTTATATGCCCTAATATTAATCCGAAAAGGCGGGAAACTGAAAGAACTTAAACAAAATCCAACTGAAAGTGAAGCACTTCGTCCATTTAAGATATTGTCATGGAAAAATCACAGCTGCATCTCGTATATTGCCCCAATAAGCTAAACGAAAGTCTATATATGTGCATTTATATGTCTTATGCATGCGAGTTCTAAACAAATTATAACAACGTTATCTTCCGTTAACTATAGCGCCGCACAGACTCTGCTCGAACGTTACATTGGCTGATGATCGGCCGGCCGTCCCTCTCACGTTATGTCCATTCCTCCATTCCTTACGCGATGTGAGAGGGACGGTCGACGAGCTGAAAAAGAAAGAAAAAAAAATCGAACCCGACGGACGCTCCTCTCGGCGCGCGGGAGCGTACCTCCGCCGCGCGCGCCGAGCGCCCACGCACTGGGGAAGCGTCTCCCGTCCCCTCCCGTCCCGTCCGAGAGGGCCGCGCCGCCGGCGGGGCCGCCCCGGGCGGCGGCGCGGCTATTCGGAGGACCGTCTCGCCGCTGTCCGGCGCTAGCCCGTTAACGAACATATAATTTTGTATAGCAATTATAATTTCGTAGTGCATTATACCTTCGATCAGTGTGACATGGAAGGCGGAAGCCACAAGATGGCGGCCAGTGTTTCGTCCCTCGTGACGTCGCCGCCTGATTGTTGTCACATTAATCTGACCGTACCCTCTCTGTTCGACAGGTGAACGGCATCTGGGGCCTGCCGGCGTTCGTCTGTGACCTCTACATCGCCACGGACGTCACCAGCAGCACATCATCCATATTCAACTTGGTGGCGATCAGCATAGATAGGTGAGCGCTGCGAGCAAGCTCAGCCGTGTGTGAAACTATATACAGATAAATAAGTGATTGGCACGGGGAGCTTACGTGTCGGAATGCAGGGAGGGTAGCCGTTCATGAAAAGGTAACCGGTGGTCAAAGTATACAGGCACGTCGGTCGATTAGTCGATCAATTTGTGTGGGTGGTCGGCGATCGTCGTGAGCATGCAATTGAACATGATTATGTCAGAATGGACAGGTGAATAGCGAATGGTCGTCGGTGATTGGTGTACCTACTTCAGCTGATAACTGATGATTACTAAGGATTGCTAAATGCCGTAAAAACTTCTATAGAGCTTTCTCATGGGTATCTTACCTGCTATGAACATGAATAGTTCTGTTTTATTTACTGCAAAAACGCAAGCTCAAGACATTGCAACATGAAAGGACTTGAGGTCCTCGTACTGCATCTTCTGTATTCTATTTCATAAATGCGTGAATGGAATACAAAAAGAATAATATTTATACTGAGAACGGTTCTTTGAGACGACTGCCCTAACGCGTCTCAGACAGATTCTATCTACTAAGACACTACTTGCATGCAGATAAAATCAAATTGATATGCCTTTGTGAGCTCGGCCACATCTTTGACTCTCAGATGGACCGCTATATCAAAGTGATTTTCTGAAATCATACCAGAAACATGTCGATAATAATGCCTGACAGGGATCCGGGTTTGCTAAAAATTTCCTGGTGATCAACTCTGGCCTTCGCCACGATAGGGATTTTGTGGGCCGACCTTCATTTCATTTTAATCACTTTTTTGGTTCTATATGAACAGACCGTGTTTGATCTGTGCCGGCGGTGCTCAGATGTGCCGTGGAGCGGCGCCGCCCAGCGGGCCGAGCTCGGACGGGACACGCTCCCCGGCCCCGTCCGCCGGAGCGTGCTCCGTGTGACGGCACTCCGGGACACTCGAGAGAGCGCCGCGGCCGGCCGAGCACCTAATTGGCCCGGGCTGGGGGCCCTCCACGCAGCAGACGCCCACAAAGACTGTCAGCGAGAGAGACGGCACCGCGGCGGCGGGAGCGGGGGCGGCGCGGGGACCGCTCGTGTCATCAGAGAGAGCCGTCTGACCCTCTCAGAGGAGCATCCTGCCGTTGTCGCAGAGCGCTGTTCTGTCGTCCTCATATGAGCAGTAGGTAACCTGTCGTCCACACACAGCGGTGATCCGTCATCCTGTCTTCTTCACCTCATGTTTCATCCTCAGCCGTGCTGCCTTGTCCGTAAGCCCGCAGGACCAAAGGTCGCCAATAGGTCTTTGACGTGACGACAGATAGGTGTATCGTTGTATGTAGTTCCGATGACCGTCTGTTGTAGTTACCGGTGACCGCCCTTTCTCCGGTCAGCGGTCACGGTCTCTCCCCGGTCAGCGGTCACGGTCTCTCTCCGGTCAGCGGTCACGGTCTATCTCCCGTCAGCGTGGCGGCCGACCTCGCCCGGTGCTGACCCGCGATCGCCGCGCTCTCATTAGCTTGATTAGAGCAGTTGTATTGATCAGCACTGGGCGACGCGATGCCAGGGCCACGGTCGGCCGGCGGCGCGGGATCGCTAGAGATGAACGGTCAAACAATCGGATTGGAGCCAGGGCGGGAAAAGGTCATGGGAAGGAAACTCTCCTCGGGCAAATTTGAAGACGTAAATGTATTTTAAGGGGATGGTAGCATGCCGGAATTGGCTATCAGCGTGGACGGTCAAGGATGCATAGAACGTAGACAACAACCGGTGAACCGTCAAACGCAATGGAAATGAATTCAGCGGGAGGTGAGGGACTGAGCATAACGTCACCTCATTCCGACCCGGCGCGGTGCTGATTTGCACACGGCAGCGGAGTGCCGGTCCAGGCCGGACCGGCACAGAGGCACAGGACGACCTGTGCCTCTGTAACACGCGCCGCTGCTGCAGCTGAGTGACAGCTACACGGAACACACACTCACGGGGAGGGTGGCCTGAGGGATCGGGACAGCGCGACAGTCTGACTCGTCCATAACAGCAGCCCTGAGACATGTCACGTCGTCAAGCGCGGCGGCTGGCCGGGACAGGGGGGACCTGTGGCGGCATCCTTCCGGGATGTAAGGCAGTGTGTGACCCGCTGCCATGGTGGCTTTCCCTCCTGCCGTCTGTGGCAGGGGTGTTGGACCATCTCACACTCCTTCCGTTGGTTGGTTGGGGAGTTGGTTGTCCCTTCCTCACTCAATCCGTCCCTCCGTCGGACGGGGCTGTCCCTCTCTCGCTCCCTCCCTCCGCTTCAGGGCCCAATCTTACCAATGCCGACGCTGTGAATAGGATTTGGCAGCACTGGCTGGAGTTAACGGCACTGATATCAAAGATGTCCTGTTTATTTACCTCCAGGTAATCTTGTCCAATGATTTTGATAGCGTGAATGATTGTTAATGTCGCCAGAACGAATGAATAAGTGAATGTGGAATTGTTCTGAATGTTACCAAATGCCGTGAATGCGCATTCACGGCATTTGGTAAGATTGGGCCCAGGTGTCAGTTGTCCCTCCGTCCGTCGGTTGTGGTGTCGGTCATCCCTTTCTGTCTCCCTGCCTCCCTCCATCCCTCCCTCCCTCCGTCCGTCCGTCCGTCCGTCCGTCCGTCGGTCGTGTTGTCGCTGTCGTCCTTCAGTCCGTCGGTTGGGGTGTCGGCTGTCCCTCTGTCCTTCACTGGGTTGTTGGGACCGTCCCTCCCTCCCTCCCTCCCTCCCTCCCTCCCTCCCTCCCTCCGTCGGTCGTGGTGTCGCAGTCGTCCCTCCCTCCGTCGGGTGTCGGGGTGTCGCGGTCGGTCGTCCCTCCGTCCGTCGGTCGCCGCCCGGCCGGCCAATCGTCCCGCTATTGATCACCGTGACCGCGGCTGCGGGCCGGGCCGGCCGGGTCATTCTGTATCCGGCGCCGAACCTCTGCCGGTCGGAGCCCGCCCGGGGTCACCGAGCGCCGACCGACCCCGTCTCTCAGAGTGATGACGCTTATCAAGTGATAAACGTATCGACGGACAGCTGAGGGAATCCGAAAAAAGGCTGTCGGGCTTGACACTTTGCAGTGATACGGTGAAGTTTATGGTGCGGTAAATCTTATATCAAATCTGATATCAAGAAGATGCTAGAAAAGAAGAGCAGTATGGTCAATTGTCATTCACTTATCGTACTGATTGTGGACACTTGCCGGAAGTAGTGTCAGCCGTGCGAAGAAAATTATCAATGTCCGGTGCAAGCCCGAAATGGGCTTCATTATCATGCATGAACTCCATTACGGGCCGCGTGAAGAATGTTAACGTTGTGTGAACACTTGTAGCCAAAAACGCATCATCGTTATAAACGAGCTCCATTATACACAGCGCGGGGAATGGCCGTCTTATGGCTTTCGAATTGAGGCAGGTCTGCCTTTACGGCCGTTTTACGAGTGTGCCGGTGCCAAGTGCCATCGTTCGAATACTAGTCAATCGCCCAACCACCACTGAGCCTGACGATTCCCTCGACGTCTCTTCACAGGTACATAGCCGTCACTCAGCCCATCAAATACGCCAAGCACAAGAACAATAATCGCGTCATATTCACAATAATTCTGGTGTGGGTAACATCAGCAGCCATCGGAGCTCCTCTGGTTCTCGGTGAGTTTATGAGCGACGGTACCTCGGGCGGCGGGTGCAGCCTTCACTGGAAAATCAGGGCCACTCACTCTCAGGAGAGTGGTCACAGAAGCGTGTCTCCAGGGCTCTGCTAAAGCTCTGACTGATCACTTTCAGACACTGGCACGTGCATGAGGTCCCCGGGAGATTGGTTCGACATTCGCTGCACGGAGATGATGAAATGCGAGTAACCATTGAGCAACTAGTGTCATTCGGTTGCCGAGCGATATTAAGTGGTTTCCGGAGCTCTGAACTTGTGCTGCGTGGGCGGCCGGTAGTGAACCGACTAGTTGTCAAAGTAGTGGGTTTGAATGAGGTCTGAGTGTTTGAAATGTCGCTTTTCATGTGCTTTCACTGACAGGCAATGGGACAACCAAGAGCTGTAAACCGCTTTACCTGATACGATAAGGTTGTGACCGCAGTTAAAGGCCTTCACCTTATAAGACCAGAATATGAACAGGAAGAGGGAGCAGGGGCAGAGAGTGAGTGAGTGAGCGAGAGAGAGAGAGAGAGAGAGGGAGAGAGAGGGAGAGAGAGGGAGAGAGAGAGAGTAAGAGAGAAAAGGAATGAAAGTCAACGATATCTCCACTGACATCGGTGTGTTTGTATTTCTTTCAGGCCTGAATGTTCCGGCCGATGGCATTCCAAGAGAGGAGCAGCAGTGCATTTTCTACAACTCAGATTTCATTATTTATTCGTCTTTGTCATCATTCTACATCCCCTGTGTCATTATGGTCTGCCTGTACTACAGGATATTTCAGGTAAGAATGCCCGGTCGTCCCGGTACCCGGTGCAATACCCAGCTTTCTTTATTACCTATCATGTTGGAGGGATTATATGAAGTTGATTAGTAGGTAGGTATATATGCATTTATATATTCGTTGTAAACATACCGTGGATCGTCAAAATACGGTTGCATTTTCCAATGTTAGTCATGGGTACTGGGTATGCTTGCTCTATGTTCACTGTTCCTTTCCCGATCTAGGTCCCAGCAGACAACACTGCTAACTCCCTGAGGCACCGCAGTCTGTTCATTTTCGGCCGTCTGGCTCACCTTTCTAGCCGCGAGAGTCGCTGCTGAATTTCAATCCTTTTGAGGAAACCCATTCAGCTAAATGATTTGCCAGAGTTTCCGCTGGGGAGGAGTGAAGCAATGCCAAAGATAGGCGAGCGAAGAGACTTTCTGAAATCTAGGCCTGATAATTATGTTTATGGAAATCTTTTTTGTGAGAACTCTTCAAGCAGTCATAACGATAATCATAAATATGTAGGCGTGATCGCTGCACTCAATGTGTGAAGATGAATGAAAGATCTGCTATTTTCATTCTATGGCCATCTCAGAAGCGTAGTGTTAACTGTCGTAACGAGGTAATTAATCGTTGTTTCAGGATCACTACAACTTTCCAGCCACTTTGAGATCTTATCGCACACTTTTATGGCGCTTGTTTTGCCGGCGCCGCTCCAAAGCTCGACAACAGATATGCTCGAAGAGATATGCCTTTCTCTCCGCCTTAGCGTCGAGCCTGGCTTCTGTTGCTCGTCCGTCCTCAGTTTGGATGGAAGCTGACGGTCAGATAGTCTTTCTCTTGTTGACTGTCAGGCTGCCTCTAGTTGACTTACTGTTTCCTGCGCTGCGCGTGTCTCCACCAAATAGACGCCATTGGTCAACAGTCTCGTCCAATCACCAAAGCAAACCGAACAGAAAGACACATTTTCTCAGCGCTATAGAGCGCCAATAATGGAGGGCTGGTGTTTCAGATGGCTCCACAAAATAAATGTTTCCTTCAAAAAGCTTTCCCAGTTCCCAGTTTGTTGCGAATGCCACCAACCTTTTATCAGCTATGAGGCCGATGGGTTAAAAATGACGAACGAACACAAACCGAACACTTCGCGTGCAACAAACTGATCGCCACCGACTCAGAGTTTGACACTCAGCACTCAGCCTGTGGAGAGTGTTGACATTTGGCTGGGTATCGACGGCGAGTGTCGGGCTGCCATTTCTCCATCGGCTCGTCCGATGAGCCCTGTCATTAGGTCGTCGCGCGGCGCGCGGGACGCATTAGTGCGCGTCCAATGACTCTCATTCAGGCCCCGCTGGTGGCTGTTGACAGCGCACCATGGTCGGAGTCACGGCAGGCAGGTCGCCGGTGGTGCCGCCCCGTCTGACCGGCGGCTGACCTATGGATAGGGAGGGCGCAGAGCCGGTGTCAGCGCATCAGACACGCGTACAGATAGGGAGAGAGAGGAGGGAGGGAGGAGAGAGAGAGAAAGAGAGAGAGAGTGAGAGAGAGAGAGAGAAAGAGAGAGGGAGGGAGGGAGAGAGAAAGAGAGAACATGATAAAAGGGAAAGAAATGAAAATAGAAAAATCATTTAGATATGCGGGCGAACGGACTTCGTTAATTTGTTGCCTGGGAAAAGTTGTATTTCTTGTAAACTGACAGCCCTTGCTGCTAAAATGGCCAATACGTTCAACGTCTCCCGTAGTTTTCATGCAACCAGTACCGAGCTCAAATTAGCGCTCCGAACGACGATGGAGTAGTTCTCGAAACAGAGCCGTTTGACTCCATTATTGGCTAGATTACCCTCCTTGGGCCATTTAATGGTGAGCGGCACGCCTATCATACACTATGAGGCGCCTGGCATCGGCGCGTCAGAAACTTACGACAGTCTAATTCAATGACTAAAATAATTCAGACATTAGTAACACAAATGTGTAGGTGCTTAGGGCAAAATTACTGAAACTGTCATGAAGATCTTCTTTTGATGTCTATGTGCATCTTTTGCTGTGATTAAAAGTTGTATCGCAATTTTCTTCGCGCATGAACACCATTGTCATGTCACGGCAGAGGTAGAACCAATTTCCCGTGCATGTGTTTGGCTCATGAGGCAGCATGTTGCCGTCAGTTCTGCTGGGGTGTCTCGGGGGAAATTTGCCTCTCCCCGCACTGTGGGAACACCCAACACTCCACGAGCGCCCATCACTGCCTGAAGGTCACGCTGACGACCTTGACAATCACCGCTACTCAGCAAAACCACCGGGATGGACAGCTGTCCAATCTCCCTGATAACTATCCCACACAGTGCTGTCATTTCCAGTCGATCGAGCCTTTGAAGGCGAGCTATGTCTCAGTGTGTGATTTCATGCCCGCAGGCGATTCGTCTTCGTGCGCGGCAGGCGGCCGCCGCAAAGAAGCCCAAGATGGACACTCGGCCATCGACTGTGATAGAAAACCTGGCGCAGACAAAGCAGCAGGAGACGACGCTGTCGGTGATGCGGCCCGTGCCCGACAAGGCCACGAACACGGGCAGCAACAGTCAGGTGAGGGGCGGGGACGGACCGACTCATGAGGCGGGGATACGGAACGACGGACCAGCGTAAAGGAAAGACATATGATTTTTGCTTGTATTGAAATGCTTAAAATGTTTTGCATCAGGAGTAACGAGTGGAGTTTATTTGAAAAAAAAACCAAAATTTAAAACATCTTTTAAAGTAACCAACAATTACATACCTATTGCGCAAGGGCGCTTAATGTGATCGATCGTTTATCTGATTGCGTTACCTACCCTAGCATGGTCCAGTGTCTTTGATACACTTACAAAGTAAGTCCTTAGCTCAAGCATGGACTACAGTAGTTCAAATGTATAACCGTCATTTTCAACCGTCCATTTTCAAATGAGTTCGTTACCTCAGTGGCTTAGCCTTTCTTAAAACTGTCACACGGTTTAAATCCACAGAAACCATTTAAAACCGTTCTTCTTATGTGTGCGCAATAATTCTTTTCTTTAATTAAATTTGAAAGTCCTACGCAAAAGTAAAGGCAGCAATGTGAAATACTGTGATTCCTTCCTGTCCCCAGCCAAGAACAGGGAAAAGAGCAAGATAATAAATTTTTACGATCACTAACGGCAGCGTTTCAATTAGGTGGTCAAAAATACGAGCCGATTCGACTATTGCCTGGGGACGCGTACGTTCCTCGGAAATAAGCCAGTCACCAGTTGTGGAGGTTGTGCAGATCGACGAGCCGTACCAGCCGTACGGTGGGGTAGATACCAGCCGTGAGCTCGACGATCCAAGACGCGATGGCCTCCAGCTCGGCGGCTGTCACAGACCAATGTGGTCAGCAACACGCCGCAGGGAAGCGCCAACTTTCCCTGATTGGGAAAGGCACCGGGCCATCAGCCGGCGAGCGCGCGGCGGCCCTAATCGCCCGAGGCGGCACTCTTAATAAGTTTGAGCGAAGTGTTGACTAGAACTTCCGCCAGCACGACAGCGCGATTCGTTGGCAATTAAGTCTGACCAAGCTGAAGTTGAGTATATCGTCAGTGAAAATAGATGTTCAGTATTTCGATTGCTTTCTCTTTCAACGACACGCTTACCTACATCAGCGAAACGTTCACTCATAAAACAATGAATATAAAACTCCATTAAATAGGCAATCTTAAATGCGTTTCACTTTGGAATGATTTAAAACCACGTTTTCCTATGTCTCCCATCCTTAGGCAACAGCAGGGCTGCTAAAACCAGACGCGTTGTTCAATACACTTCGCTGTTGGCCAGAACGGGGACTCGGCTGAAATGCCTGGAAGGTAGACTGTGCCGGTGCGCTCAGCGGTCCTGCGGCACAGCCTAACATTGCAGGTATAATGGCATCCACCGCAGCGCCGCCGTATCGTGAACACTGGGCAGTGGGATGAAGGCTTTTGGGGGGAACAACCGGCAGCATTTGTAGCGTAATCTGATGAAATAATGATAATTTATCAATTCTATCGATACTATCGTAGTGCCGACAGCCGTATTTACCATACAATACAGAGGACAACGAGTAGCAGTGCGACCTTACGCTCCTGATTCCTGAAGGTCGCTCCCTCCCCGGCGGCTGAGCGGCCTCGGCCTGGCGGCTGGCGGCGGCGCCCTGTTTACTTCCCCAGCTCGCCGGTTCATCACCGCGCCGCACTCCCCCGTGAGCGGCTCTATTTACACGTGAGATGATGCATATATCTGGCGGGCGGGCCGGCCGGCTGATTGACGGCGCTCGGCCAACAGTCGGCGGCGGTCAGCCGGGCGCGGCGCTCCGCCGGATCAGCAGATATATGGGCCGCCGGCCGGCGCGCTCACCGGCTCCGGCCCGGCCTGTTTACTATCCCACTAAGGAGACGACAGAATAAAGCCCATAAAAAGCTTATGAGCTTACGTGCGCGGCATCTCTGGCCAGCTGAGATATTGTGGAAGGGCCGCCTCGGCCAGCCGGCCGCCGACTCCCCCGCGCGCGTGAGCGGAGTGTAGGAGATTCGAGTGCGCACAAGTTGCAGCGGAAAGCTTTTTATGGTGTTGTTGGTGGCTGCGGGCAATCCAGATGGAAATCGTGTACCCGCAATAAGCAATTTGCCAGTGTGTTATGCTACTTTTATGATGCTCTCCGACCACCTATGAGTTGAGGCAGCTTTATTCTCAACCTATTCATTTGAACATTTGCCGTAGGTTCGTCATAAACTGCGAGCATTATAGGCCATAATGAGTGGCCGAAACTCATATTTTGAAATATGTTGGCCATACAGATGCTAAATATGCCATAAGCCATGGGATATTCTTAGTTAATTTATTGCTAAATATAATTCAAAGTTATTCATAATTAGCGGGAATCCCTAGTAGCCGAGTGGCTGCGCCTCCATCTGACCTGACCTTGACCTAGACATCATTAGGCTACCACGGACGCCTTCATCCTATCAGCACCGCAGTCTGCTGTACGAGTAACGGTGCTAGGTCGCAGGGCCACTCTCAATGAGAGCAGTGGTGTCTTACGGGCCGCAATGGGGCGGCAGAGACTGGGCCAGGCCCATAATGCAGAGTGGCAGCCCCTCGACGCGCGCGGTGACAGACTATCGGGCGGGGCAGTGACAGAGAAAAGCCGCCGCCGCCACCACAGGCGAGCGGATGGCGCGGCTTCTTACGCCGAGAGCGGTCGGTGTCAGCGGCGCCTCCGGCAATGGGTAGAGACGGGACAGAGCGGAGGGGTGGGCAGAGGGCGGAGAGGAGGCGACAGAGGGCGGAGAGGAGGCGACAGAGGGCGGAGAGGAGGCGACAGGAGCCGCCGGCCGGCACCGCGCAGTGGCTGGACGGTGTCGGAAACGGTCCGCCCGCGGCGCTGAGTGACAGATGGGGTAGGCCGAAGGCCGGAATACCCGCCCAGTGACTCCGAGCTCACTGGAGCGGGACCGCGGGACAGGAAACGGCATCAGATCAGAGCCGATGTGCCGCCACTCGGGCGAACCACGCGGTACCCACCACATGCGACCGCAAGCGGCCGAATGGCTCGTGGTCCTGCCTCGTTTTTGCTAAAATTTATGACTGTGTCGATAAAAGCGTCTGGAGCTCTAAAATGTAGAAGAGAGAGAGAGAGAGAGAGAGAGAGAGAGAGAGAGAGAGAGAGAGAGAGAGAGAGAGAGAGAGAGAGAGAGAGAGAGAGAGAGAGAGAGAGAGAGAGAGAGAGGAGACACAGAAAATACGGAGAAACAGACACAAGACGAAAAAATGAGTGAATGTAAAAAATATCGTGGCAGCCGACCCAAGGTTTTGTGTTCCGTTGAATGACGTTACTGGGACAAGATAATGATATAATTCAGTGCGTTGTCGTGGCGATTGCCAGTAACTTGGCATGCTTTGGCACAAACACAATAAAAAGTTTGACCAAGACAATCACATGTTCCTCATGTCCTCACGGCCCGTCCTCGCGCCACAGGAGGAGGACGACGATGACGATGACGAGGGTCAGGAGGACGGCCCCGACATCTCGTCGCCGAACGACGTCGAGGACTGTCACATCATCACCAACAAGTCGTGCGCTGAGCTGCCGCTCGTCACGCTGCCCATGGCCAGGTGAGCGCGCAAGACATTAATGTGGGGTAATCGTCGGCCCATGGCCTTTGCCCAGTCGAGAGTGCAGGATCTATTAGTGTAGGGTACCTAATCATCAACCAAAACTCACGCCTAAAATACTGGTAGACGTTCGACTGTTTGAAAACACGATCCGGATATATATATATATATATATATATATATATATATATATATATATATATATATATATATATATATATATATATATATATATATATATATATATATATATATATATATATATATATATATATATATATATATATATATATATATATATATATATTTATATTTACCGGCCTTTTTATATGCATTAGAACGGATGTGAATCATTTTTAATTATTTCAAACTTCGTGCGAAGTAGAACAATAAAAAGGAAATAGACTTACCAGCTTGTCGTGGCCATTAATCTCTCACAATTTTCCATTCTCATTTTCTCTAATATGGGAAGTTTTCCAAGATGAGCTGTTTAAGCAGCACGCTCCCCATGGGAGCCGTTCATCTTCGGGAGAAGAGCCGCCGCCAAGCTCTAATCATCCTTCCTCAGCGCCGGCCATCTTGGTGTGACGTTAACTATTCCATTCATCATCATCTCGCAACTTGTCTGCCGCCTCTCTCTCTCTCCCTCTCTCTCTCTCTCTCTCTCTCTCTCTCTCTCTCTCTCTCTCTCTCTCTCTCTCTCTCTCTCTCTCTCTCTCTCTCTCTCTCTCGGCGGTCTTAATATGGTCATTAGATAGAAGATGAGCTAGGCTGTAGCCAAATTTAGCACAATGTGATATAACGACGAAATTGCCAGAACACAGCGCTCGCCCAGTCATTCCCTGGATTGGCTCATCCCCGGCCGATTTTTCAGCCGATATTTCCTAGCACACTTTGTCAAACGTGACTGCGATAACCACTCGACTGCGGAAGTCTCTGCGGCAGCTTCTTGCCGCCGCTCAGGAAGTCATCACGATCAACTCCATCTCGCTGTTTACCGACCCCATCATTCCAACTGCCGCGACTCGCGAAACGCATCTCGTCCTCGGAGCACCGGAAGGTCGCCAGCGGGAGGTTCTCCCGGCGCTGACTTATTATGCTCGCAACCGCATAGGACGTGCGTGAAATTACCACTCTGCCTGTGCGCCAGTGTCGGGCGGGCGGGCCAGGGGTGACGCGGGAGAGGCTGACACAGCCGAGTCTGGCAATTGTGCTGGATGGTCCCAGAGATGATTTGTGGTTGCTGAGCAAGATTGTTTGGTGGACAGGCCATCCGTCGTCTGGGGAAGTCTGGTGCACAAACTTAGATGGCATGGGGCGAGGCTATGTTGTTTATTTTTGTTTTAGAAAACTCTGCCCTAAACTTGCCGACCGACCTGCCGATTCTGTCCACCATAATCCCCATCGCTCGGGCCTAAAGTAGTCGGCTTGTGATCGGTCCTATCAGTATGCCCGCAAAATGTTGCGGGAAAGGTATTTTGCTAATTGCCGGGTAGAGTTGTTTTGACTAATGCTTTCTACGCACCAAACAAGGTTATTGTGTTTCACGATTGTGCAGCCTACCTGTGCTGTGAAAAAAAAATAATTAGTCCGAGTCTACACATGATTACCCTTGAATGCTCATAGATAGTCACTACGTCAGCATTCATAATATCTTGAGTGTTCCTCATAAGGAAATCAGTCTCGTTAGTTGTTAACGAACAAAGATCATCGACCTTCGCACTTTTTATCACCCATCTCCCGGAACTGGCAGACACATCTGAGTTCCCCACTCAGCGCGCCTCCCCGAATACCAGCAAAGGAAACGAGCCGTCAGGGGGTGGGGCCGGACCTGGTTCCGTCCAGTCCCGGCTCGTGCTCCGTCCATACTTCCATTGTTGCCCCCGGACGGTGTCAGCGTCTTGTCCATTGTTCGCGATGCTGACGATATGGTCAGGCGGCGGGGATTCCGACTATACGATTTACTGTCGGAGTCGGTCGCCGACTCAGTATCGCTGCAGGCGCCGTGCCTACACGTCGGATCATTAGGAGACTAGCGCGGCCATTCACCAACAATAGACGTGGACGGGATACGTGATTGGCCTGGCAACAATAGATGTAATGCGGATCGTGGGTACCTAACTATACTGTGGCTCGTCTTGGAAAAAAGATGTAGCTATTTGTGTTTAGCCCCGAAGAAAGGCTACATCGATCGCTAAACACGTTGTGCTCACGATTCTGACTCGCGTCATGACCAGCCCTGATATGACACAATCGACACCCAACCCTCCTCTATCCCAGCGTGACCCGCCCGTTCCGTTTCAGCCCGGCCGGCCCGTCGGTGATGGTCGTCGAGGCGAACGGCCACCACGACTCGGGATACGTGGACGACAGTAATGTGAACGCGGGGCCGGCCGGCGCGGCCGGAGCGGGCGCCGGGCCGCGCGACTCCCTGCTGCCGACCCGACCCGCCGCCGCCGCAAAGGTACGAGCTCAGGGTTGCAATGCCGTCAATGTCGTAATATTACACACAGAAAATGATGACTTCGTCGCATGCAAATAAACCTCCAAATAACCACCGACACCTTCATTAGTATTATTTTATCAGTTTCGAAGAAGCCATCCCGATCGGGCAAGACTCGAGACCTCGCTGGCTGGGCCTGGCCAGGTATGGTCGGGTCTGGCCAGGTCTGGTCGGTTCTGACCGGGCCTACAGGGTAGAGCCGCATCTGTTTGCCGGCGGTCGGCGGTGGTGCTGTGACGGGTGGCTTCATCCTTCATCTTTTACCCGGCGCTGGACGAACGAACGCTAGGTGTAAACACTTGCCGGCAGGCGAAACTCGCCCCTACCGACGCTGCGGGCCGCCCCCCAGGGGCGCGGCACGTTTCCGGGCACCCGAGGCGATCAGAGATGCAGAGAGCATCCGAGACCACGCGCTGGACAAGCCCAAACCTCACCGATTCCCCGAACACTTGACCGGAGGGCCTGGGGCGGGATGGAGGGGGCCACTCGCACAGGGTTGAACGTTAAAGCGTCCCGGAGTTGGCGGTTACTCCAGAGCAGAACTCCAGTGGGACATTCGTCCAGTGCAACTAAGTTGCCAGCGTCTTGAAAAACACGGAAGTTTGGCATCCGAGTTCAAAGTCAAAGTTAGTTGATGGGAAACGCACTGACGCCCTGAGCTGCCTTCAGATCAGCCGTGAAGTTGCTCTAATCGATTTTTTAGGTGGTGCCCAGACTGGCCTGTGGAATATGGTGTCATGATAGCTCGCGTTAGGCATGCCATTGACCCATTCCGATGTTACTGTGGTTATTTCCAACCAAGGAACAGTCACCGATTACTTTCCTTAATTGCTGCTTTCGGTAGCTTTCAAAACTTGGTATTCCGAATTGTAGAATTTATTGTTAAATCCCGTTAGCGATATCATTTTACGGTATCGCGTGGTAATCGAAGTGATCTAATTCTATAATGACCACCGCTAATTTTTGACAATTGCCGTTTACTGTTTGTTTTTTAATGTCACGGACTAGCTGGCTGTACCCACTCACTGCTTTTCGCCCACGCTAACCGGTAGCCACCGCTCTATACCCACACCTCACTGCCTGCGCGGCCCTCTACCCGCCACCCACCACCCGTGCACCGCCAGCTGCCACGGCGTATCCACTTACCTGTAATTGACCAAATCAATAATGTACCGGCTAGCGTTACCCAGTACTTTCGGTGTCGGGCGTCGCATGTTCGGATCTGTAATGTTAATGAGCCCTCTCGCTGGTCAGTGTGGGTACGTGACTCCGCCGCGGTGGCTGTGTTAGGCTGTATGTATGGGAGATAATAGGGCGGCTGACCAGCTTGGAGTTAATTGGGGCCTGTTCAATGCTGAGTGTTGGTGTGGTATGATATAATTGTGCATGTGTTACAATGACCTTTGACCCTAGGCCGCTCCGTCACCCATCACGTGATAGCGCACGCGGCCCATTATAGACCACGCCAGGTATCTGGAGAATTGATGTCCCGATTATGACGTAGAAAACGTCTTTACCCGACCATGACTCGCCCCCCACCCGTCCGTGTTTGCCCTTTCTTACCATGGCTGCTTTTTGTCCCAGTCTTAGGATATTCCATTGTTCCAGCTCCCTCTCAGTCCCATTGCCAATCCCAGCCTACTCCCTATCCCTTTCCCACTCCCCCTCTCCGCCGTGAGCAACTCATTGGCAGCCATCGGCCGGTCCCATTCCCAGCTGCCGTCCCACTTCCTATCTTTGTCCCGTTCCCCAAGCCCGTCCCTGCCTGGTCCCTGTCCCAGCTCCTAACCTTCTCCCTGTCCCTGTGGGGATAGGGGGCCGGCGCCGTGGCCTCGCTCATTGGCAGTCGGCGTGCGACCGACGTCCATCGAGCACCGCTCGGTCTGTCGAATAGAAATGGTCCCGCTCAGACGTACGGCGCGCACTTTTTCAGGCTCAAATCTCCGGCGACAACAAATTGGCCTGTAAAAAGGCGGCTGCTCGCGGCGGCACCGTCAAAGATAAGAAGTCCAAGAGGCCGACGACGAGCCGCTTTACCATTTACAAAGTCAACAAGGCCAGTCGGAAGAAGAGGGAGAAAAACTCGGCTAAACGCGAACGGAAGGCCACCAAGACACTGGCCATCGTGCTCGGTAAGTTGGGTCGTAACTTAAGTTGAACTTGGGTATAGATTTGTAAGAACGATCAACGAACCAACAAGACAGTGAAAACGCGTAAGAATTCTGATCTGGATCAGATAGTTTCTGTAGTAGTTTTCGGCCAGACAATCGCTGGTATGCGCAAAATAAAAATATTAATTTAAGCATATGCTTTGACGGGACTGTTACCGTTTACCCGGTTAGGGGAGATCCCCCGGAGCGGAGAGTCCCAAGCCATTCTGGTCCACACTACCCAAAAGGGGTTCAGAGACGCATCTCGCTATAGGTGCACGATTGGTTTTTAGGGTCCATGGTCCACCATAAGTCGGACTCTAATTCATGTGAGTCAAATCTCCAGTGCAATGTCTAGCTAATGGACTCATTTACTTGCCAGCGAGGGTCATGCAATGAAGATTTGCTGAGGGCATTTCACGTTCTCAAATCAAACATTACGGCATGACTGCGGAATTAATAGACACGCGTTTATATACCTACTGCTGCATGCAATATCCAGGCATTCGTACCTAACTCTAGCAGCGCTTCAATGTGTGACTTTGATATTACAACGCTGGGTAAAGGAATTTGATATATTCCACGCTGGAATTTCAAGCTGGTTGGTAGCGATTAGCTCTGGCTAGATAAGTGCTCTACCATACTAGCAACAAAGCTTTCAGTTTGTGCAAGATTCTCTCTGAAATGAGCTTGGGCTCGGTGGTGGAAGGACATCGGTGGTTCCAGATTCTTAGGCATTAAATGGTCGAGCGAGCGAAAGACCGCTAGGAATTGTGCGTGATGTTTAATCCATCAGCAAACGATAGGCCGTAAAGGAAGCATGCAGTGAGAGCAAGGGCCTTCGCTGTGCGTGACCTCCCTTCCCATGTACGATTTAGATGACACGCATATACGCATCTGTTCGTCTATCAATCCACGTTCATACCTGAACGGTCGGGAACGGTCGTGAATCTGAAGTACGTCCACTCCCACAGGCGTGTTCCTGGCGTGCTGGGTGCCGTTCTTCACGTGTAACGTCGTGGACGCCATCTGCATGAAGAAAGGCTCCGACTGCAGCCCGGGCCTGATGGCGTTCTTCTTCACCACCTGGATCGGCTACATGAACAGCTTCGCCAACCCCGTAATCTACACCATATTCAACCTCGAGTTCCGCAAGGCGTTCAAGCGGCTGCTCAGCTGCGCCAGGTGATGGCCCGGGCCGAGGGCCGGTGGGGACTAGGGTGAATGTGTGACCGATCGGGTCGACTCTGCGACCCGGGAGGCACTCGGACTCGACGCGCCGCACGGCGCGTGACACGGACACGCTGCGGCGAGGTGTATGTGTGTGAGCGATTCGAGAGATGGATGAGTGAACCAGTGCGCCCATCAGGGTGGCAAACTGACTGTTATCGGCTGTACATACATAGTACGTGTGTGTTACAAATTCCAGCGACTGCGGCGCGGGGTAAGCGTGTTGGTTGTTGTCGCCCAGAGTGGACTATTTTGTCAGAAGTGCAGCGGAGCGCGCAGGCGGCATTAGTAGCCGCGAATCACCTGTCAGAGTTGTCTGTACATATGTACGTCAGATACGCTGTACCTTCGTCAGAGACTGTACAAAGAGGGCGGTCGTCGCCGACAAATCAAATCAAACGGCGCCGGGCCGCTGGAGGTCGGGTCGGTCTCGGGGGCCGCCCCCGCTGTCGTGCAGGCGGCCCTCGGGCAGGCGGCGGCGGCGGCGGCGGCGGCGGCGGCCGTCCCGCGCGCAGCTCGGCGTCCTGAGTCCCGCCGGACTCCGCGCGGCCCGCCCCGCCCCGCCGCCGGCCGTCGGCGCCGCGCCCGCCGCCTGTCTATTCAACAATAAACTTGGAACAGCTATGTGACTCTGATGTTTTCGCTGAATATTCCCTCCCAGCTCCCGCAATCGGCGAAACTATACGGCCTTTCTTATGTCTATCGGGAGGTGAAAGTAAAGAGAAAGAACGTTAGAGATAACAGCCACACAGTAAGGATCACATCCGATGCACCGACGAATCAAATCGAGCTTGTCAGCGGAGAACGACACGACTCGTTATTGCCTCTGACATACACGTACATGAAGTTAGGTACTTTTTGTCAGTCCGACGAGCCGTTACGGGTCTCATTGTCCCAAAAATACGTAATAAACAGACAACACACGACGCACAGGCACAACCATTGTAGAGCTGTTGTGAGCTGTCAGCTGACGTGAAGAACAGTGCCTTGCTAACTTCCGTCGAGAAACCTTCTCGAGGTAATCGACTTCAGTTTCTCGCTGAGCAAGAAAGAAGGCTTTCCAGGGACGCACGTAATGCTTACATTCAAACGATGCCATTCGCGACGTAGCCATTTCGGTACTGCCGGAGGCCGAGGGTGGCTTACAGTTACAATAGACGGCTCGGGGATCGGTGATTGATAGCTAATGCTTTAGCATCAGAGATCCATAAGCACCAGTATAACGCCTTTTGGGGCGACTAACGGAGCGAGCGAGAGGGTGGGCCTTGCAGTGCGAAATTGCGAGGGGGTACCTCCAACCGACTTGTGCACGGCACCCTACTAACCGGTCTCTAGCGATGTGCCAAATTTGAGCACAATCGGCCCAGCCGTTCTCGAGATCTGGAAGCGGCACCCTGCACGTGCGCACGTGCAAAATGGGTCCCGACTGACTTGTGCACGGCACCCTACTAACTGGTCCCTAACTGTGTACCAAATTTGAGCGCAATCGGTCCAGCCGTTCTCGAGATCTGGAAACGATCCCTGCACGTGCGCACGTGCAGCAGCACCCCAACTCTGGCACATGGATATGCAGTGCCTAGTGGGTGCCTACCTACATGCCAACTTTCAGCGCAATCGGCCAAGTAGTTACCGAAATATTGCAACAATTACAAAAGTGACACCTCTTCGTTTTGCACGTGGCACGTGCATAAGGGGTCACCCACATGCATCGGGAATAGTCCAATACTTGGCAGAAGGAATGAAGCTACCCTACAAAAAATACCCCATGTAAATCGGTCAAGTGGTTGCTGAGATATAAGCGTCGCAGAATCGTGACCACGGCCGGCCGGCCGGCCGGCCGGCCGCTCATACTCAGAAATTTCCGTTATTCTACGTAAGACTCCGCTCGCTTCGCTCGCTCCGTAATCACCGTCCCTTTCAGCTCCAGTAACATGTTGCAGGTACGATATGAGGTCCCATATGCACCTATTAACGATCAATGGAATTAAATATTTGGCTACATTTAATAATCAATATCAGAACAATTGTTTTACAGCCCCATCTCATTCAAATGGCGAAGTTTGCCAATAGGAGCGTGGCGGAACGACAATGCTTTCGAAAGGCAGACTACCCACGAAATGCGATTTGAGATTTCGTCTGATTCAATATGACTACGATTGACAATTCCGCCTAGGGAAGACTACCCATCAAATGCGATTCAGACGGTGTGACAGCTGCGGCGAGTAAAGATCACTTCACTCAGGGCCGACAGCCGCCCAGCGCTGCGTCAGAGCGACCCATGTGCCACGCACGTCGTGTGTGTCAGCACTGGGAAGAGCTACCCGTCGCGTCTCACGCGTGCGGTTATTCGGTGCAAAACGCCTCGATTGTTAATGCACGCAGCGAGAGAGCTCCTCAAGAGAGGTGGTCGTAAAGATAGCCTGCTTTCCTTTACAGACTCCCTGGCTAGAGTTTTGCGCACATTTCGGGGGATAAGATATGAGTTGCTGGTAATTTCCCAGGGGCATGCACGCATAGCTTACAGCTAACGCAGTTTTTACTTGATGAAGCCTGAAATTGAATTCCCATTGAATTACGCACCTGAAATGAGATAGAATGTATCCAGCGAAAATGTAAATCCAGTGGTAGGATTAGGTAGGTATTGTATTTAGGGCCTTGGTAGGTATATGAAACGCCGCGACAAGACTAAAAGCCAATCTTCGGAATACCTACACCAATGTCCCGATAATGCACGACTATAAGCCCATGCAATCGCCTTGGTTGTCGCACATCATTTACACTAGCACGGACGACCCGTTTATAAAATGCAAGCACTTAACCCGCGCCCCACTGGGGGGGGGGGGCTATTTATAGCCCCCCCTCCCGTTTTTCTGCAATAACTTCCAAACCGCTTGACGTATCGACGCCAAACTTTCAGTACCTTAGGCTGCATCAATTTGACACCTTGTGTCAAAATTTGAACTTCGTACCTACTATAGGTCGGCCGAATATGACGTCAGAGTGACGTCATGTTCGGCCGATTTCGACGCAAAACATTGAACCACGGCAATCGCTCCCAAGAGCTCAGTTTTTAAGCTAGATCCAATTTCTTTGCATGAGAGGTCTCAAAATAGACTGCGCTATCAAACTGCTATCTCGGATTTTCAAAATTTG